TAATATCTGCAAAGCCAAATTCCTGGTTCTCCACTGCTGCAAAACTACTCCATTCTGTAGTCCTGAGGATCTTAGTGAATGGGAATTCTATTTCTCCAATTTATAAATTAAAAACTCGCATACCACATTGAGTCTATCACAAATGTAGTCAGCTCTCCTTCAGAATAGAATCAGAAGCTAGCACGTCTCACTGTCCAGCATTACCCTGGTCCAAGACAATAGCATTTCTCTCCCAGATTGTTACAATAGCCTCCTAATTGATTTCTAGCTTCTGCACTTAGCATTTTCTATTCTTAACACAGAAGACACAGTGATCTTATTGGATAGAAGATAGATAGCATTCCACTCAAAATCCTGCAGTAGTCCCCATCTCATTCCAAGTAAAAGTCAAATCTTTCAAGGAGCTGGGAGGCCTTATTTTATCTGAACCCATATAACTTCCCCGTTCTCACCCTGAACCTTACTTCCATTGGCTCATGCTGCTCTGTTACCTTCCTTGCTGTTCTCAAACACATTTCTTGATGTTATCCAGAACTTAAAAAATTTACTCTTTAGTCTTATGTGGGCATAACTGTCTGTAGTCCTCACTGCTGTATCTGCTACACCTAGAATGGCCACAGCATTCAATAAATGTCTGTTGAATGAATGCATTGAATATAGTACTTACTGGTATTAATGGTTTGTATAGAATTTTATAGAAAATATTTTATTTGCACATAAGGTCAATTTGATCTTTTACTCTTTAATAGCTTTAATTTCTTTCTCTCTCTCTCTTTTTTTTTTTTTTTTGTCTTTTCATATTGCAGTGGCTAGGACCCTCAGTACAATTCTTGATGATGTTTCACTATGAAAAAGAGCTGAATTTTATCAGGTTATTTTTCAGTGTCTATGGGAACAGTTACATGGTTTTCTAATGATTGATGGAATTTCTGATGTTTAATCATTCTTAGATTTCTGTTAATATCCCTCTTGACCTTGGGATTCTATGTCAGAATGCAGAGCTCAAAAAATATGGTCCACAGATGCGGACTGAACCGCAGCCTTTTGACGATCCCATGGAGAGCGCTGTTTTCCCATCAGAGACTGACCCGCTGACAGACGTGATGTTTCCTGAAGCTCACCCAGGCACTGCCAGTGCCTTCGGGTGCCAGACACACACTGTGAATCAGCAAAACACGCTGAGTGTGAAGGCACACATGGGAGCTCCAACCTTGATACACAGTGGCCGGGGGCAAATCCCTATCAACAGATTGTCACCAAATGAAAGTGAAGGCCCAGTGTCACCAGGTCATCTGATATTTGTCCAGAGAGCCTGAAAATCTGGATTTTTAAAGTGTAAAACAGACTCATTGCTAAGTACTTGTAAAAAATTCAAATTTATACAAGAAGACATCATGTGGTCCAAACAAAACTCATCTCTAGGCCAAGTTAGAGCCACGAGTGTGAGGTACTGCAATGTTTGTGTCTTTCGCTGACTCTAGTAGGCGCCTTGGCTCTTTTATCTCAGCTGCCTCATTTCCCTTGAAGAAGCCACTCTGGGAGCAGCTCAGCAGCACCAGGAGCCTTCACAGACAATGGGAGCTTTTTTTACATCTGTTTCTTTCCTGCTGTCCAGTTCCACCAAATAAAAATCAGAGAGGCTGGAACTCTCCTTGTGGACGGCCGGGTGGGTTAAGTCAGGCGTGTGGTGCAGAAGACCCCCCAGCACAGAGAGCTCAGGGCATTCGGGCTGCCTTCTTCCCATCTCCTTTGTCCCTCCTGTCTGCAAAGCTTGGCACTTCGGGGACTACCAAGACGAAAGGTGCCGGGTCCAGGCTTCAAGGACTTTGGAGTATACATGGAGTACTACTCAGCTTTAGGAAACAGTGGTGATATAGCACCTCTTGTATATTCCTGGATAGAGCTGGAACCCATTCTACAAAGTGAAGTATCCCAAGAATGGAAAAACAAGCACCACATGTACTCACCAGCAAATTGGTATTAACGGATCGACACCTAAGTGGACATTTAGGAGTAACATTTATCGGGTGTCGGGAGGGTGGGAGGGGGGAGGAGAGGAGGGGTATAGACAACCACAATGAGTGAGATGTGCAACGTTTGGGGGATGGACACGCTTGAAGCTCTTACTCCAGGGGCGAGGGGGGCATGGGCAATATATGTAATCTTAACACTTGTACCCCCATAATATGCTAAAATTTTTTAAAAAAAGGGTAAAAAAAAAAAAAAGAGGACATTGGAGTGTGAAGAGGGTGGCCAGACACACACTAGGCACAATTACACATGATGACACGGGGGTGGGGCACCTAGGGATGGCCCTGCCGGTGCCCGGCCACAGCTGGCCCTCCTTTGTGCCCTGGTTCCTTGCATGTAAAATGGCAATGGTACCAGTCCCAGTGTTGAGGGGACTAACTGAGATTAATGCACGTGCGTGTGAGAAGAGGTAGCACCTGGCAATTAGTGAAACCTCTATAACTGTGAATGGCTGCTATTCTTATTAAAGACAAGCAAAATACCACAGCGAAGTACTAGGGCACACCAAAGAAATGTTTGTACTGCGGGGTTGGGCAGTCGGGCGGTGCAAACCAGGACCAGAAAGATGGACAGGATTTCAACAGGCTCTGAACACCTCCAGGGTGAACAGCAGCATTCCACTGGGAGTGCTGTCAACGGAAAAAAGCCAAACTCTGCAAAATAATTTTAAAGAGATTTATTCTGAGCCAAATTTGAGGTCCATGACCAGGAGCCACTGCCAAGAGGCCTTGGGCAAGTGGACCCCTGTGGCTGGGTTACAGTTTGGTTTTTATACATTTCAGAGACAGGGGTTACAGGTAAAGCCATCAATCAATACTTGGGAGGCACACATTGGTTTGGCCCAAAAAGGAGGGCCATCTCTAAGCAGGGGGGGGCGGGGCTTACAGGTTATAGGTGGGTTTAAAGATTCTTCAGATTGTAATTGGCTAAAGACATGAAGCTTTGTCTAAAGGCTTGGAATGTTTTAACATAAACTGTTTACCAGAGATAAGCCACCATTTGTTTCATAAATTGAGGACCTGCAGGTTTGTCTTGCATACCCTTAGGCCTGTTAATGGGTTACAAAGGAAGTCTCCAAGAAGGGAGGGGGGCATGATAAGGCATGTCTGACCTCCCTCCAGCTGGCAGGCAACTTTGCCCTAGGATATTCCTTTGGCCACGAGGGGGTACACTCAGTCAGCCGGTGGGGGTGAGCATTTTAGTTCACAGTGCACAGGGGGCGTGTGCGAAGCAGGTCACTCCAGAGTCATCTGGCTGCGGGGAGAATCAGCACCCCCTCCCGGGGTGTGAACCCCTCCAAGCCCAGTGGGTTTCTGCAGCGTGCATGGGCCCTGGGCGCTGGGGGCTGGGGCACGGGGTGGGGGTAGCTGGGCGCGCCAGGCGCACACCTGCGCTGACGTCAGCGGCCTCACCCGCCGCCGCCGGGGACAGGGTGCACCTGCGCCACCGCCTGCAGCCGGCCCCTGCCCGCTGAGCAGCATTCGGCCGGCCGCGCGGGCGGGCCAGGCCGCAGCTGGACGCGCTTCCCGGCTCTGAGAGCCCCCACAGCTGGAGCGAAGGCAGCCCCGCGCCACTGGCCGGCCATTGTCGGCGCCAAAGGGGCCTTCTTCGGGCGGAAGCAGAAGTTCACCCAGCTGTCGAGTATTTGAAATGTAAAAAGCCCGGGGCCCGCGGGAGGGGAGAAGACAGAGCCACGTCAGAGGAAATGCAAGCTGCCCCCGGGGTTGAGGAAACCGTGGGCTGAGAAGTTCACTTTGAGCAATCAATAAGGCTTTCAGACAGCGGGGCAGAAAAAACAGTTCCGGAGAGAGGGCAGAGGCAGCCGCCAGCCGCAGCCGGCTGGGGACTGGGGGACTGCGCCTGTCACCGACGCAGCAGCGGGGACAGCCAGCCCGCCCCAGGGCGCGGGGAGCTGGGAGGGCCTGGGCAGGAAGGGAGGGACGATTTGCCTAGGTGCATGGCTGTTCAGTCCACCCACCCCTCCTGCCGGCAGGGCCATCTCCCCAGGGGCTGTGAACCCCTCCCGCCGGGCTCCACCCTCCTTTTCCCTCAGCCCCCACCCACACCTGCACCCACTCTGCCCTGGGACACTGCTGGGGTCCCCGCCTCCCTGCCTGTGTCTGCGCATGCGCTCCCTTCTCCCCGAGGGTCCCCTGGCCCTCTGGACAGCCCTTAAAGGCAAGCTCCGCCCCTTCCTGCCGCTATGCCTGACCCCCAGCCCCAGGGCCACCTGTGAAATTAGGTGGCCCTGTTTCTGTGGCTTTCACTGACTTTTGATAGGTCTCTGCTATGGTTCTTATCACTTCACAACGATGTGTCAACCATCTAGCATTTGTCAGCCCCTGTGCCATCTGCTAGGAATGAGCACGAGGCCATCCCTGTCCTTAGGGAGCTGCAGGGGCATGGCAGTGCAGATAAATTCTCTAATCCAGCCAGGGCCAGGCAGGGCAGTCTCTAGGCTAGGGGAGGAAACAGAAATGCAACGACCTCCCTGCCAGGCCCAGGAGCCCTAAACTGTGTGCCCTTCAGGGCTCCTATAAAAGCACTACCTTACCTGTAGGGGACAACTTATGCCTGCGGATGTGACAATGGAGCAGGTCATTGCTGTGTCCCACACTCCCTTTTAACCTGCTCGGTGGGCTAGCTCTTCCTTTTGTCCCTAGATGCAATGTAAGGCAAGCTTCATTACTTTTTGTTGTTGTTGTTAGTTTTGAGTTAAAAAAAAAAGTTGCTTGATATCACAAAACAACATATTGCTTATTTTATATTGCTTATTGCTTAAATAATAGTTGTGCCTAGTCCAAGTGGTGCTCAGATCTGGAAACTTGATTAAGTTGAGGCTTTGTCCTTCTCCAACTGCATCTGAAGCCTTGGGTGGCTTCTTCAACATCTCCCCCCTAGGGCTGCCCAGCAGCCCTCTGCCACGCTGCTAGCCCCTCCAGGAGTAGGGGTTTGGGACTGCAGGAAGGTGAGGAAGGTTCTTACTTGACAACCTGGGTCATCAGCAGGTGCCCACACACTGGCTCGGCAGGTGTATAAAGCAGGGACCCTTCCTCTTTGGAAATGCTTTTGTGGTGTGTTCACTCTCTCTCCTTAGCTCAGAGAACCGGCACCTGCAGTTCTCCTGGTGTGAGGATGGGGCTCATTCCATCCTCAGAGTCCAGACAGGAAAGCAGAAACATACTGGTTATTTTAACAGAGGTAATTGAATTTAGGGGACGAGTTAGACAGACAGCAAGTGACTTAAAGGCAAAAAAACAAAAAAGGAAACTGGAGTCTTGTGGCTGCAGTCAATGTAGGAAGAAGTGGCCTGCCCTAGGTCTGGGGGAACAAAGGACAGAGGGCACGAAGCCTGGCGGAGGAGCCTTGCTCGCTGGAGCCCAGCCCTGGAGGGAGCAGGTGCTGTCTGGACGCCACAGAGCTGGCACTCAGACTTCTGAAGAAATGCTGCCGTGGGAGGGAGAACGATGGGGCTGGTTATAGAAATGCGGAAAAAACTAGACACCGAAATAAAATACTCCTCAACAGGCGCTGCAGGGGAAGCCACATTGCTTGGATGCTGCTGACATGAGCAGTGTGCAAAGAGAAGGGTCCAGTCCCCTGTCCCTCCTCCAGCCCTGCAGTGTCCCTCTGGCAGCACATGGGCAGAGCTGGTCAGGGAGGCCTGGCAAAGAGGAAAGGTGGTGTGGCGTCCCCAGTGTTCCCAGCATCACAGGGCTAAGTGTAGAAGGCTGCGTTTGGAGCTGAGAAGCTGTAGCTTAGTAATCAGAACACTGTGCCTGGTGGTCACTTATATTTCCTTCCCCAGAACCCAGGCATCAGGGTACTCTTTGGTCAAGGTCTTCTTGTCCCCGTCAGGGGCTCTCATTGGCAGGGGTCAGTCTAACCCCAGTCTAACCCATATTTGCCTGTTGATCCCTGGGGAATAGTCACACATCCTTGCCCTGGTGTCAGCCTGCTCTCTGCTCAGCTCTCACGGTGGCCCCCTTGCCCTCACTCCTCACCCTCAGGACCTTTGAGCAGGGAGCCAGGCATAACTTCACTGTGTCCACCAAAAAGCAAATCACAACAGCTAGCTTTCCGAGTGATGTCCTTTAAGTGCCTTTTCTTTGCCTTGAGATACAAGGAAGAATGCCCACATTCCTTGGAGAACATCAAGACTCTCACCAGGAAAATCTGGCTCCAGCTCCAGCTTCTTCAAACCTTTCCTGTCACCAACTGGGTGAGGGGTGATGAGCCCTGCAATTGGTTTTCTCTTCCTCTTTCTGAAATCGAGCCTCAGGATATTGCACCTCGTTCTGGAATATGACATCTGTCGATTTGTGAGTGCCTCAACTGAAATTATCATTTTACCATTCTGTTAAATTTTAATTAATGAACTCCAAATTAGAGGAAAGTGTTCTATGCCATGCAAAAATGTCATTTTTACCTTCACTTCCCTACCATGTAGGGAGGATTATCAATATAACAAAAAGGAAAAGACATCCTCCTCCATTCCCATGGCATATGTGAGACCTAAGGAGAAGATAGAAATACAAGGAAATAGTCAGAATGCAGCGTGCAAAAGTAAGGTAGGTATGTGATGAAGAGTGCACTGAAGAAGGTAAGTCAGACCTGGGTTTTGAACAACACTGGCCAGCCAGAGAAAGAACTAAAGGCTTTGTAGGCAGGGACAGCAAGTCCTGCAAAGACTGGGGGATTTAAAAAAACAGAAGAATGTATCGAAGACAAACAGGAAATTTGATAGTGACTTGGCTGCACCAGGTCATATATGCCAAGGATCTTGTTAGAGTTTTAGAGACAATGATGAGCTAGAATCAGGTCTTGGTGACCTGATTCTATCTGATTATTATATTGGATATAATAATTAAAGGGCAGAAATGTAAAAAAAAAATCACACAGATGGTATTTTTTTAAATCATGAAACTGGTTTTGTGGCCCTGCCATTGGTTAGAAATTAGAGAGATAGGGGAGTTGGTGCTGAGAAGATGTCACAGATGAAGGCTTTGCGGTAGCTGTGGACTCCCAGGTGGAGAGGTCCAGCGTCAGGACGATGAGAATTCTGGAAATGTGGCGAGAGCCCAGGCTGAAAGGACAGAGCCAGGCCTATTGCTTTACCACTCTTGGTCCACATTGCTCTCCATCTTTCCACACAAAAGCGTAAAAAAAATGGATGTTCAAATATGAATTTTGAAACCACTGATGGATAAAATATACACATATCTTGTGTGTGCTCATCTGAAATAAAACTGCATAGATGACAAGCAAACCTTAGAATATTTGGCTCAAATGAATATTTAGGAGGCCACTGAGAACAACTGATACTTCCCAAAGACATGTCACCTTCCCCCCCCTATGGAATTGAATGCCTTATTTACAGCCACACAAAAATGCATTCAAAACCCAAATTTTGTTGCAACACAGTGACATCTAGTGTTCAGTCTGGCTAACACCGAGAGACAATCCCCCAGGGAACTATGGAAGCATGTTCTGACTTCAAAGTCTGCCCTGGGTGTTGTGGGCCAAGTTGTAGAGGAGGAGCAAAGTCTCCTTGTCGGGTCTGTCTTCTTGTGAGCAGCGAAGCCCTATCTGAGTGTAGACACACACAAGCATGTGTGTGTGTCAAGTTCAGCTCAGAGGTTGTGCTTTTAAACTAGAGCCACGTGCAATTCCTCATCCGATGAAAGTCTTCTCAGACGTATTTACTTCCGACTAGGATTTCTAGTTAATTATAATGTAATTATTAGAACTTGGATTATTCGTTAGTTTTAATTATAGTCATTAACATATTTCATATAAATATCATTATGCCCAAATATTATGTTGGCCTGATATTGCAAGAGTGCTTTGAGATAGATAGATCCTGAGCTGCTGGATGCAGGAGGGCGGAGAAAAGGAACATGCCCACCGGTCTTAAGGGAGTTCCACACGTAGAACCACGTTCCGAGTGTGTGTGGCTCGGTGGTGTGAGCTCTTCCCTAGGAGTTAGATGACCTGTGTTCTTTTACCAGGGTTGTCATTCATCTGCCACGTGACCTAAAGCAAGACACTTAAGCCTCCTGTGAGCTGCACCTGTAGCTAATGCATCAAACTGAGTCATCTTTCTCACATGTTGATCGTGAAACTCAATGAGGTGCTTCGTTTATTGTATTTTGTCAATCTTAACAGCTCCATTTTGAGATATGTGTTCTTTTCCTCGTTTTTTTTTAAGTGAGGAAAGTACAGCTCAGTGGGTGGAAAGTGAATGTTTCGATAACTTGTACATGACAGGCCTGGGGGTGCTAAGCCAGGGCAGACACATGCACAGACATCACGGCTGTCCTACACGCTGAGCACATACAGCGACTGCTCTTCAAGGTACAATAAGACACTATTAACTAGCCCTCCAAGTATCTTCACAGAAGCACAGTTACTAGGATTTTATGTATGTATCTCTATCTACAGCCATCTCTCTCTGTCTCCACCTGGCCCTATCTGTGTCTGTCTCTATCCTTTATTTATCCATCTACCTATTGTCCATATCCACATCTCTATTTTCTGTATCTCCATATGTATCTATCATCCATCATCTTGTCCATCCTCAGGAAGCAATTGGTTCAACATTGCAATTACGGTCAGGGAAAAGACACCAATACTAGCAATGCCTACATTATATGATTGGGTTTGGCATCTCCGCAGGGGGACGCTGATCCTAAGAGCTTTATTGAAATGCCCACTTCATGTTTCAAGGTTAGACGATGCCTTTTCCCACTGTCCAGATAAAAGCATGACAATAGCTGCTCTCTAACTTTTCTATGATAGAATTCTGCCTGAAATTAAAACAAAGTGAAGTTACCATTCTTCATCCCCTCACATTAGTAAATATTTTTAAAAGTTTGCAATATCCAGCTCTTGTTTCCGTGAGGGGGGATGGGCCTTCTCATGCCCTGCTGGTGAGTCCCCTTTGAGTAGAAACTTGACATTACGCTGAAGGCTGGAAATCTGCATCCCCTTCATGCTGCAATTTGACTTTCTAGTCTACGTTTTCTTTCCTGCTCGTGCAAGTACAAATATGTGTATTTCCTTCGTTATTTATTAGAATATTTAAAAATGTTATCCTTGAAGACAACACAATTGCCCATCAAAAATATTATTAAATAATTTATAGTCCATTCATACAACACTATGCAGTCTATACAGCTGTTACAAAATTACAGTGCATTTCTATGCGCTGGTAGTGCTGGTACATATAGAGCTCCAAGACATGGTTGTAAGTGAAAAACTGAAAGTTGTAAAGTTGTGTCTAGGTTATATTGAAAGTATGTGCACATGTTTGTTTGTTAGCCACAGTTGTATAGTGCTTATGTGTTCCAGACACTGGTCTAAAAGGTTTACAAATACTAACTCATTTGATTCTCACAATAGCCCTGCGAGGCAGGTGCTATTGTTAATCCTTCAGATAAGGAAAGCATGAGATGGAGATGTGAAATAGCTTCCCAAAGTGACCTCCCTGTCTCTCTCCCCCATCCCTTACTGCCTCCTCTCTACCTCTCTTTGTCTCTCTTCCTATCCCTGTCCCCATCTCTGTCTCTATTGTTTGCACACACATGTATGCAATGGTGTCTACAAAGTGGCAAATTTTCAGGCAGTTAACTGGTTAACTTAAGAGAGTGAGAAGAGCTGAGGTAGCAGAAGGAGCCATTGACTTCACTGTATACCTACCTGGAAGCTGCCTAGTTTTTAAGAAGTATATTTTCAAATACTACTAGTATAATAACCAAGGATTTATAAGCCAACGAGTGTTTTTCCTCTATGATGTGGGATACTGGGTCTCAGCTGCAGAGTGTCCTGGGCTCTTCAGCAGTCTGAGGTAGCTTCGGGAGGTGGAAATTGTGTGCCCCTCTCCGGAAATCCCGACCAGAAACCAGGCAGTGTTTGAAACCTTCAGAACAACGGGCGGATTCTGCCATCTGCTCTCCCTGCAGACAACGTGTGTGGCTCATCTTTCCAATCCTAGATCAGAACCGTGAGCTCTTCCAGAGCTTTTCTCTTCAGCTGTCTTCTCTGTGGTCCATACGAAAAGTTAGACTGGGACAAGGAGATTTTAAGAAAGCTAATCCCAGTCACTAGTTCTCTAAACTCTTGGAATTGAAGGAATGATTTTAAAGGTTTGTCTAAAAATAATACACATTCTATAATAATATCTAATCTTTCGTTAAAATTCACCAAAGCTAAAGTGGGATTACACAATCTGTATGGTGGGAACATTTCCCAGGGGACACTGAGGGTCAGTAAAGTTTGAGAACCAGGTGAAGCCTGAAACCGCAGACAGAGTAGTAAGGTCTAAGGTCGTGGTTCACGGAAGCTAGCTTTGTACCAAAGACAAGTGATGGAGCGGGTTTGGGGCCTGCGAGGTCAACCTACAGGAAGGAAGATAGCCATGACACGGGAGGACACAACAATGCCCAGATCCTAAGTGAACAGCCTGGCAAGAGGCAGTAGGATGCGAGGCTCCCAACAGTGGGCTGGGAGAGTGAGATGAAGTCAGGGCATTAAGATGCAAGGCAAGCTCCCCACAAAGGATGGTCTTCACTGGTGTAGCAAAGGTTACCTCGGACCCAGGGCTCACCTGCAGGACCGTGGGAGTGAGTGTAGGGCACTTAACCTCACCGTGGTATGGAACACCGTGGTTTATGGCCTCTGTGCTCAGAATTCAGGAAGATGGGTGAGGGGCTCTTGGGGAGAGAGATCTTTCTTTTCCCTGCTCTGGTAATGAGTCAGTGTCCTCATTTGTGACTCTTTTGGACAGAGACACCGAGGATTCCCCACACCTTTACTCACAAATAGGACCCTGGAATTAGCCAGAGCGAGACTCTGCGTGTCTGAAAGAGCCCCAGACTCTGGATTTCTTCCTACGGTCATCTGTCGCACCTCATGCCCTGCCAATGGCTAGAATCCAGCCAAGCCACTAGGTGGATGGCCATGTGGTGTGCAGGGAAGTGAGGCAGGTGCAGAAATGATCGACTCTTGTTTATCTCGTCCATGTCACAGTAGATACAAGTGGCGGATCCCTGCTCGGTGCCCTTTCAGTGTATCTGAGTTGGCACGACCTTCATCGTGTTCCTTTTCGATCCTTAAACACTTGAAAAGAAGTGCTGGGGTGCTAAATCCACTCAACTCTAAGACAAAAGAGATCCTTATTCTCAGTGTCTACACCCAGACAAGGTTGTTGAGGTGTCAGACCATCAGGAAGGGAGTTGCCGATCCACCCGCCCCAGGCTTCTGCCCAACATTTATTCTGTACAGTAAAACCCCCAATTCACACCAAATCATGGATGTCACCTCCACCTCTCTTGCTGCCTTGATCTCCAAGGCAGTTGGTCACCAAAGCTAGTCCACTGTCCCTTCTTCTCCAGCCCCCGCTGTAACTGCCTTTGTCTTCTTCTACCAGGAAAGCTGTAGTCATTCCCTAATGTGGCCACCTCGCTTTGAGTCTTTCATCCAAACTCTTAGCCCTGTTGTCATCAGAGTAATATTCTAAAATGTAAGTTCTAATATGCCTATTCTATTCTAAAATGCCTCTTTTGTAAAC